GCCCCTCCTGCCAGAGTATCCGCCAGCCTGGCTGGGCGCAGGGACATTGCAGATTGGGTACGCACGGAGGGGCAGCACATGGAGGGAAGGTGATGGTGCCATGGCGTCGCGGTCCCAAGGGGGTCTCCTCTCTAGCTTTAGGAGATGTCTGAGGCCGTGGAGATGGTCTCTCTCAAGAGAGGACTCTTACCGCGGCAACAGAGATGAGGAACGGGAAAGAAGGCTTTCCTGCCTCGCATTCGCGCAGGCCTCGCCTGGCTCCGCTGTGTCCACCGGGTAATGGGGTCAGAGGAGATACGGCCATTGCCCCCGCCCCAGGTGCTGGACGAAGCTCCTCACGGGTTTACAACATAAGGCACAGAAGACAGACCGCATCGCAAGCGCTTCAAAAGGCTACATGCTCTGGGTTTGCAGGCTGCGCGTTTATTCCGGAGTGACGCCCTAGCCGACGCCGCGGTGTCAGCACGAGCCGACGGTGAGAGCGCCAGCACTCTGGGGCTGGTCAGGCATGCGGACAGCCTGAGGGCCTTTCCCAGGCTTTGGTTCTGTTAGTCAGACAGGCTTCTTGACTCAGCTAGCGGAAGCTCGTGAAATGTTGAGCTAACATGGCCGACGGGCTCTGCCTTCTTGAGAAACGTGGTTAAGTCCCGCAGAGGCACGCGCAAAAGCCCCGGGGAGGTTAGTCAGACCGCTGTGCTGTGCTCCGGGCCCTGTGCTCTCCCATAAAGCAAGGACCCAAAAAAAAGCCTGCGTGGCCCCCGAGGGCCGGAGAAGGGCCCCCCCTCCACTAACCGGGTGACAGTGGCAGGCCGAGGGTGCTAGAAAGGCCGCCGCAGCCTCAGGCTGCACGGACAGTGACCTGGCTAGGTACAGAGGGTGAGGACCCACCTGGGCACCGGAGGGCACGGGTGGGCACTGGGGGCTTTGGCACGGGAAAATGAGGTACTAGCCATGCGCCCCCACACACACCTTGTCCCAGGCACTGCTCCGAAAGGCTGCTTCTGTCCTTCTGCTGCACCCTCTGTGCTGGCCAGGCCAGGCCAAGAAGAACTGCTCAGAGCCTAGCCCTGCCCCGCCCTGCCCTGGCACGCCAGTGCTCAGCTGCGGGAGGCCCTCAGACCTTGGAGGAGCTCCTTGAACATGCAGTTCTCAGGGCAGGGTGGCACGGCTGGGCCCACCCGACACAGGCCCAGGGCCCCTGACCCTAGACACGTACACTCATGCTTGCGGTCGGGCCGGCTGAGACTGCGGTGGACTGCAGCAAGGGGACCCCGTGGAGTGTGCCTGTCCCTGTCTCTCTCATGGAAGAAGTAAACTACAGAAGTGGAGTTCTTCCGTCCACCTCGCCAAGCCCTGCAGGATGCATCTTAGAGGTGGGGGTGGGGCCGGGCTGGGAGCACAGGTGGCCCCTGGTGGCAGGAGGAGTGGCATCTGAGAAGGCTTCACAAGGCTGGTGGCCTGTGCGCAGGCTTTTGCAGCACAAGGAGGGGTCCCAGGGCATGCAGCAGGGATTGGGAGTCGTAGTGGAGCAGGTGAGCAGAGCCGTGTTCCAGGGGCTTACAGGCACAGGAGCGCGTGAGCCACGGTTAGGGGCCTGGACTTCATCCTTAGCCCGGGGACAGGTGTGAGAGAGCAACAGGGGCTGGTGGTGGAGGCAAGCAGAGCAGGTGGGAGGCTGAGGCCTGGGAGGGGAGGCCGGTGGGGTTGTGTGCTGGCACCGAGGTGGGCAGTGGTTAGACAGTGGCCTCAGGCTCCATCCCAGGAAGTCGCCTAGATAGACTCGGGGTGGGGTGGCAGTCTCGCCTTCCTGGTGCTGGGCTGCCCAGCCCAGGGCATGGTGCTGTCCTCTACTCTGCTCGGACCCCAGGGAGGAGGGCAGGGCAGGGAGACAGGGGGTCCTGAACAGAGTAGGGGCAGTGGCAGGGGGCCCCTAAGAGAAGGTGGCCGGGCCTTGTGGGAAGAGGAGGTGGTGCAAGTGGAGGCTGCTGGGAGGCTGGGCTGTGGGGAGCAGGCCTGGAGAGGCTAAGGGAGAAGCTGAAGGAAGCGGGGCGCCAGTGTGCCCAATGGGGTTGAGGGGCTGGGGCTGGAGCAGGGGCCCCACCAAGCTCTTCCTTTCCTCCTCCTGGGCCTGTGGGGTTGTCAGCACACCAAGGCCATGGTAGGCCAGGCCATGGCTGACCAGGAGGCGGGCTGCCAGCAGGTGAGGGGATGCTGCAGGAGGGCAGGCTGATGTGCCTGGGGGAGAGGTGGGCGCAGGCTCGGTGCAGTGGGCCCACGAGAGCGGAGGCCAGAGTGTGCATCCCGGCGCCTGCGCTCGACTGGAGCCGAGCTAGTGCCTCCTGCCGGGCCGGCGGCTATCTGACCTCGTGCAGCCCTGACCTTCAGAGCGCTGGATGGACAAGCCGACCCAAGTCTGGAGCCAGAGCCCACTGCCCAGTGGAGCCCTGACGTGCTGCCCACCACGTGGCCCCATGAAGAGCAAGTATGGCAAGGTCATGCCCAACAAGGAAATCAAGGCCCCGCAGGCAGGTGGGCAGGGCTGGCCTGGGCCGCTGGGAGACAGCCACTTGTCACGGGGACACACCTGCAGCTGGTCCATGGTGGTGGGGGCACCTGCACTCTGAGGGAGGCCGGAGGTAAGCCGAGTGGCCGCTCTGGGGACGCTAGGCTCCCTGTGCGGCTCAGGCTCGGTTCTGTGGCCCCTGTCTGCTGCTTTGTACCCTCGTGAGGCAAAGAGCCAGAGGAGCCGGGCGGACTGGCAGCTTACCTGCGTCTGAATGCGGTTCAGGCCCCGAAACCAGAGGATCTGGCCCCTGCGGAGCTCACGCTCGGCGTGGTCAATCTCCTCCTCCCCCTCGGCCAGCTCCTCGTCGCTCATCTCATCCTTCCCAGGCCCGTGCCCTGCCTCCTTCAGGCACTTGAGCTGGCTGGTGGGGATGGTGGCGATGACCTGTGGGGGGCACCGCCGCAGGGCGGTGGGCAGAGGGCCTGTGAGAGCAGGGCTGGGCCTGGGCGTAGGGGACCCAGATCCCCCCTCTTTGTGACAGCACGGCGTACGCCATCCCCACACTGAAGACCGTGGTTTCCCCAACTCCTCGGGCCCTGTGCAGCCACCCCTCTCTCTGAAGGCCACTGCAGCCTGGGCAGTAGGTCACAGCGTGCCATGGGGCTGAGAGCTTTGCTTGGGGCAGACAGCAATCTTGTGGGGCCCAGCACGCGCCAGGGCCTCCCAGTGTCCCCCGTACAGGAGGAGGGGCTCCATGGGAAGGAGAGTGCTAATGCAGGGTGAAAGAGGTGGGTGGGCCAGCAGAGGTCACTACTGCAGACAGCTCGTGGGGCCAACAGGTCAAGAATTGGGACCAGCAGTTAGCGTAATGGCTATGTCGTTGGACTCCCAAGTAGTTGACTGCAGTTCGAGTCCTGGACCTGGTGGCTTAAACTCATGCTGGGCATGTGTGTGTGTGTGCCCAAGATCCTGAGAGGAGAATGGAGGAGAAGAGATTGTGGTGGCCATCCCCCCTGGGGGGTGATTTCTTGCTTTCTGTCTCCCTGTCTCTCTCTGTCTGTCTGGCGAGCGCAC